TGCTGGTATTTTGGCCCATTCCTCCTGCAGATCTTCTGTCGCTGGGATAAACAAACTATGGGGTGGAGATCTGGAGATTGGTTGGGCCACTCCAGGACCTGCTTCTTTAGTGATGTTCTGAATATTTCTATTCTCATTTGGTCTCTCATAGTTGAGACTTACCTTTGATGAAAATTACAGGTGGGAGAACTTGCCCTATTGGTGGCTGACTCACTACTTTTTTGCCCACTGTATATGAATGACTCGGATCGCAGCAGGTGTTTGAGTTGTCTCTGATGTCATCACTGATCTGTGTTTTTCCCTGACAGATGTTTGGGTTCAGGATTGTGTCCGGATCAATTCACAAATACATTGATTCAATTCAATGTATTTGTGAATTGCCATAAATCACAACAGCAGTCGTCTCAGAGGACTTTGCAAAGTTGTGGATTCACCAACAGCAGATCAGAGAATCAAACAGTTGAAACACAGGAAATGCAATACTAACAAACATGTAAGAGCAAAGTGCTGTAAAGGGCGCGGGATGATTACTGTTCAATTGTTAATGAATACTCAAGTCCATAAAACGGAAGAAAATGGGTGGATGGATAAATACCCTCGTAAACTACATTCAAAATAATAAAAGTTAACTAAAACTGAACTAAAACACTGCTGAAGAAGAGAGCGGTCATGTTGAGAAGGTGAGCTGTCACTCTGAAGGTCAGGCCTCCACCATCTCCTGCCTCTGCACCAGACACAGATGATGGAAGGATGAGACTAAAACACACAACATTCACTCACAGAGAGTTTAAAATAAATTATTCACTTCTTCCATCCTTTGTCTGCACTGTACATCCTGCAGGTCTGTGAAGATGTGTCCTATAATGTCCAGGCATGTGACAGGTCTAGATGCAGTAAAGCAGGTACATGACTTTCCATTGAGAAACTACTGTGCGTCACTGTTCAGTTCTGCTCCTTCTGTTTGTGAGCAGCTTTAAAGGAGCAGTATGTACACATGTGGCCAAGAGTGGTACTGCAGCCTCTCCCACTCTCCCTGACTCAGGTTGCCAGATATGCAGACGAATCCAGCTGGGACCATAACAGCTGAATAGACAAGAGTTTTGTCAACAACAAATCTATAACCAACACCTTTTTCACAAAGATAGAAATCCTGCTTTTATTCCTTGTTTTGTCGTTAATGATTTGAGAATCATAACGAGACCTTTTTTAGTTCTGCGCCACATGGTACTTTACCAGTGAGATTAGCTCCACGCGGTGAGTTCTGGCGCCCGGATCACAGACTTTCTGATTGGTGAAACGGTGGAGGGCGGGACATCAAAATAAAAACAATAACAAGATTTAGGGACTGGAAAAGTAATTTAGAAATTCAAATATCTCTGAACTACTGTTATCAGTTAAAGAAGTATTGGAAAAGAGCAGTTTATTTTTATGACAGATTAGGGTTATGTTATGATAACCTATTAGGTCCCTTTAATGATGTCAGATTAGGGCCCTTTAATGATGACAGATTAGGGCCCTTTAATGATGTCAGATTAGGGCCCTTTAATGATGACAGATTAGGGCCCTTTAATGATGACATATCAGGGCCTTTTAATTATGACAGATTAGGGCCCTTTAATTATGACAGATTAGGGCCCTTTAATGATGACATATTAGGGCCCTTTAATGATGACAGATTAGGGCCCTTTGATGATGACAGATTAGGGCCCTTTGATGATGACAGATTAGGGCCCTTTAATGATGACAGATTAGGGCCCTTTGATGATGACAGATTAGGGCCCTTTAATGATGACAGATTAGGGCCCTTTGATGATGACAGATTAGGGCCCTTTAATGATGACAGATTAGGGCCCTTTAATGATGACAGTTAGGGCCCTTTAATGATGACAGAGAAGGGCCCTTTGATGATGACAGATTAGGGACCTTTAATGATGACAGATAAGGGCCATTTGATGATGACAGTTAGGGCCCTTTGATGATGACAGTTAGGGCCCTTTAATGATGACAGATAAGGGCCCTTTGATGATGACTTGACATGAAAATCTTAACATCAGTGAAGTTTGTAGCTCGCTGCAAATGAATACATCACAAAACATAATTACCACAAGTTGCAGAACCTTTTTCTTTCTTGTTTTGAAGATATTTTCATGTTAGTTTCACTGTTAAAGAGCACAAGAAGCACATGTGATTTCATTGTAAATATTCAAAAAGTCCACGTTCCAGAAGAATACGACATAACGAGGACTTTATCTTCAGATCTGTTGAAGGTGTGTGTGGTGATGTCACATGTATCTCTGCTTTTATAGACTTTGAATCTGAAACGCTGCTGTCTCTGCTCCTGTCTCCTCCACACACAGACATGTTTGCTCTTCACTGTGCAATTTCCATTTCCATCTGCAAATGTTTGCAAAGCAGCTCATTACGACCGAGAGGCAGAATGAAAGCGTGTTGACACATTTCAGAGTCGGGCACCTCCACAGACCGACAATATCCACAGTTTCAGTTTGGGAGGAAGTCTGTCGGGGATCACTGAGAATCAAACACGTGACCAAAGAGATAAGGGCCACTTTTTCATCCTGCAGTTATTCAACAAGGGAAATCCCATTGACATTCATGGCCAAGAGGCGTGACATCACAACCAACACATACATTAAATACACTACAGCAGGGGTCTCCAACCTGTAGCTCGGGAGCCACCAGTAGCTCGCCAGCCCCTTACAGGTAGCTCGCCAAAGAAATTAGACTTTAACAAATACACTTAAACGAATACTTTTTGACCCATTAAATATCTATTATAAGTATAAATATAGGGTTATACAGTAATATGGTGTATTTTATATGTGTTCTCCAAGTTCAGTCGTAATAATTAGATCCATTTTATTATGACTGCAAAAATGAGTAGCTCTCTGCCTGTTTGTTTGTATAAAAGTAGCTCTCTGATTAAAAAAGGTTGGAGACCCCTGCACTACAGTGATTGTCTTTTGATGTATACAAAGTTAAACACAACAGCTTACATCCCCAGGTCTTTCAGAGGAAAATCCAGATGTTCCAATCCGACATTATGCAGGATGTGTAGCTTAGTTTCTATATCTGCAGACAAGGACCTAAAGTGGGGCGATAGTAGCTCAGTTGGTAGAGCATCAGCCTTTGGGCCTGGAGGTCGTGGGTTCAAGCCAACTGCTCCCAACTGCTCCCACAAATGTTTACTGGTGTTGTGTCCTTGGGCAAGACACGTAACCCCACGCTGCCTGAAGCCCCCGCTGAAAGACCAAGGCTGTTTCACCATCTTCCTGTGGACCCACCACCTGCAGAGGATCAGAGGGCCTGGTGCTTTGAGCATTGGGTGGTAGCTCTCATTGCCACCCCCCAAACCCAGAAATGAAGGGGTTGAAAATGAATGAATGAATGAATGAAGGACCTAAAGTGAAACACCACATCAGCAAAGCATTTAAACAGACTTTCTTCTGGATGTTTAGAGCCTGACATGGCTGGGAACTTCCTGCTAAGTCCTTTTTGAAATAAATTCGTTCAACCTCAACCGGATCTACCTTCTATAATCCATGTTAAAAGTTGTTTGGAAGACGCCATAGCTTTTTTCTCACCTGTGTGAAACCTCTAAAATCCCTTCTTAATAAAGGATCCAGATCAATATATAGGAGGCTTTCTTTTTCTGTATTAGTTTGGAGAGGAAGACCAAGAAAACCAAGAGTTCAATCGAAATAACATGTGTCTCTTGTTGCAATGAAATACTAATACAAAACTCGCTGAGCTCCTATTTCCCTGACTCTACTTATGAGATGTTAGCCTCTCTGTCCCTGCTCAGACTAGTCAAATATATCAAATCTGAAAAAGGGGCGTGTCAGTAGGTGTCAGCGTCGTTGGTCCATATCTTCTCCATGAAGATTCTCTTATCACAAAAGACCATGACTGCTTAGACTGCTGCCCCCGCGACCTTGCAACGGGTGAAGCGGAAGAAAATGGATGGATGGTTCAAGTTTGCTGAGTGTGTGTCTGGGATTGTCCTGGTTACACTTCCGGTCACAAACAGATTAATAATAATAACAGAATAATAATCTCTCCCTTACATATTTTCTTCAGTCTGGAACACGTAAGCACAGAACACACAAAACATAGAAGAAAACATTTTCTTGTGTCTGATGTATTTTATATCCACAACTCTTCTTTCCCCAGGACTGGTACCATGGGTGGGATAGTAAAGAGGACAAGAGCATTCTGTAATTGTATATACCATGTGGCCTCAGACCTGGAGCTTGTTTCAGGTACATGTGGACTTCATGGTTTGTGAGAAAACCAAAAGACAAACTATTGGTTCTGTCCCCACTGGTCCTGTCCCCACTAGTCCGGTCCCCACTGGTCCTGTCCCCACTGGTCCTGTCCCCACTGGTCCTGTCCTCACTGGTCCGGTCCCCACTAGTCCGGTCCCCACTGGTCCTGTCCTCACTGGTCCGGTCCCCACTAGTCCGGTCCCCTCTGGTTCTGTCCTCACTGGTCCTGTCCCCACTGGTCCGGTCCCCCCTGGTCTCGTCCCCACTGGTCCTGTCCCCACTGGTGCTGTCCCCACTAGTCCGGTCCCCATTGGTCTCGTCCCCACTGGTCCTGTCCCCACTGGTCCTGTCCCCACTGGTCCGGTCCCCACTGGTCCGGTCCCCACTGGTCCGGTCCCCACTGGTCTCGTCTCCACTGGTCCTGTCCCCACTGGTCCTGTCCCCACTGGTCCTGTTCCCACTGGTCCTGTCCCCACTAGTCCTGTCCCCACTTGTCCTGTCCCCACTTGTCCTGTCCCCACTCCTGTCCCCACTGCTCCTGTCCCCATTGGTCCACTCAGCTCAGGGGCACACACACACACACAGCTGCTCTGTGAAGATGAATCGTGTCCGGTCTCAACAAAAGAACGGATGATTTCTATTAGAGCGTCTGAGAACGGGAGGGGCCACTCTGACGGCGCCCGACACGCTGGGGTCACACGCCGGGGGTCACACGCCGGGGTTATTGGTTTTTGTGATCTGGCTGTGACAGACCGAGGCCGGTCTCCATGGCAACCTCAGAACATTTCACCAGAAAACAGACGAGTCGCGGAGTGTTATTTCAAACAGCAGCAAAAAGACATTGCAGATGGGTTAGAGTTTAGGGTTAGAGTTTAGGGTTAGAGTTTAGGGTTAGTGTTTAGGGTTAGAGTTTAGGGTTAGTGGAAGGCAAAACTTTTTAGTAAAAGGGCCAGCTTAGTTCACCAGACTTGACCACCTGGATTAAAAAACTGGATTGACTAGAGTCTTGAATTTAAATGGGTTTCGATACGTCCTTACTGACTCACTCACAGCTGCATTTTAATTAGAACGTTGTGACACAATCATCAAAAAAATGACTGTTTAAAACATTAAAATCAACGACTGGATTCCAGACATGGATGTATTATATTAACTGGATAGGGTATTACTAGCTTGTAGCTGAATAACTCACGTGCTCAGGGGATTCTCGCGGTACTGCAGACTAGACCAGACTAAATTCACGTGGGCTACCCAGAAATTTTCCCCATAGAACTCAATGCATATTAAAACAGCTCAACCTCAGCTGACAGAGAACCTACAGCTTTAATAAAGATCGGATTTTGTGGGGATTTTAGTGTCCCTTGTCATCCTGAACTTTTTTTCTTCTTAAATCCTTCGGTTTTGTTTAAATCCACACTTTAGTGCCACAAACTCTGCTCGTCTGGCTCTGGCTCTAACTCCCGCTCTGATGAACTGCTCTGATTGGTCAGAGCGCAGCCGAGCCCCTCTGTGCACGTGCGTGAGACCCGGTGTGAGACCCACACACGCGTGTTTGGCGCAACGCATTATGGGAGATCATCCACTGCGCAGAACCGGGAGGACCAGACGATGCCCAAATACAGGCGAGTTTCCCATAGATCTTTGCGAGTTTCAGGCAACTTCCGCTAATCTTTCAGCCCCCATGCCGTCACAAAGCGCCACTGAGCACAACCATTCATTTGAATAGGGCGCCATCTTGGATCGCCGGGGCTTGATTCCAGAGCGTCTGAGATTTACAATTAGGTCCAGCATGACTGTATGACTGGAGCTGAAGTTGGTTGGATGACACTGTCAATGTGCCTCAAAGGGTCCTTTGTTTTAGCAGCAGAGGGAGACATAAAATGGCACAGAGGGCCGCAATTGGCCCGCAGGCCTGAGTTTGGACATGCTTGGTGAAAGGGTTTACTGTAAGAGTTTAGTGTGAAAACAGTTGGAAACCACAGAATCATTGATAAACTTGGTACATGTTTGAGAAAGATCCTTCCTTTGTTAAAATATATTACTGGTAACACTTTATATATAACTTTGCTGTTTCGTTTTTATTTTGTATCTTCTGCTCCATCCCATGAACTGTTTGTGTTTATGATCCATGAGTAAAGAGCAAAGAGAGAAAAGGGTAAAGGTTTAGGGATTAGGGTTTAGGATTAGGATTAGGGTTAGGGTTAGATAATAATGTGATGTTACGTCGCTGCCCACACAGGTTCTTTAAGCCCCACAGACTAACAACACTTACACACAGTAAATATTTCTTCCGCTTTATCCAAACCTGAGGCTCCAGTTTGAAAAAGTGACCACAACAAAACCTTTAGTATTTATACAGTTTTTCATTCAGACAATATTCACTTCTGTTCAGTCAGAGCCGGTGCCTCTTTCACTTCACACAGCTGTGAGGCACAAAGGGACCTCTGCACACGGACTGTTAAGTACCACTTACACGTATACACACTCACACACACACACACACTAACACACATACTCATACTCAAACACACACAAGCTCACAATGACTCTCACACACATACACCCACTCAAACACTCACACACTAACACACATACTCAGACACACACTCAAACACACACACTCACACGCTAACACACACATACACTCAAACACACACACTCACTTGCATACACACACATACGTACACACACACTCTCACACGCTAACACACACACTTGCATACACACACTCACACGGTAACACACATACTCAGACGCTAACTCACACTCACACACATACACTCAAACACATAGACTTACACGCATACACACACACTCACACACACACACACACACACACACACATACATACACTCATACGCATACAAACACACTCACACACATACAGACACACACACATACAAACACACACACGCACATACAGACACACTCATACGCATGCAGACACACACACACATACAGACACACACACACACACACATACAGACACACTCATACGCATACCAACACACTCACACGTATATAAAGACACACACAGAAACACTCACACGTACACAGACACACACACATACAGACACACTCACATGCGTACACAAACACTCACACACATACACACGCTTATACGCATACAAACACACTCACACACATACACACACACATACAAACACACTCACACGCATGCAGACACAAACACATACAGACACACTCACATGCGTACACACACACTCACACACATACACACGCTCATACGCATACAAACACACTCACACACATACAAACACACTCACACACATACAGACACACACACATACAAACACACTCACACGCATGCAGACACACACACATATACAGACACACTCATATGCACACAGACACACACACTCACATACAGACACACTCATATGCACACAGACACACACATATACAAACACACTCACACACATACAGAAACACACACACACACACATGTTAACACACTCACACGCATGCAGACACACACACATACAGACACACTCATGTGCACACAGACACACACACACACATACAGACACACTCATGTGCACACAGACACACACATACAGACACACTCATGTGCACACAAACACACACATATACAGATACACTCATGTGCACACAGACACACACACACACATACAGACACACTCATGTGCACACACACACACACACTCATGTGCACACACACACACACACACATATAGACACACTCATATGCACACAGACACACATACATACAGATACACATACAGACACACTCATGTGCACACACACACACACACACGCATACAGACACACCCATGTGCACACAGACACACACACACACATACAGACACACACACACAGACACACACACTCACGTAGAGACTGACAGAAGCTTTGGCAATCGCAGCCGTTTCATAGAAAATGTTTTCTTTGTGATTTTGATTGTGTTTCGACTCTTCCCCAACACAAGAAGGTCATAGGTTCGGTGCCTTCTGCATCTTTCTCTCTGTGTCTGTGATTCTGGGGTCACATTTCTCCACATCTTCCGTTATAGATTTCTGAGGTCTCTCTGGATCACACTGAGCGCAGTTTGAAGGAAGGTAAAGAACCCAGAACCCACTGTCTGCCGTTGGAGCCTCCATCTCTCAGACACGGCCATTGCCTCATGATAATAATCCACATAAAGGATTCAAACTGCTCTCCTCCTCCTCTAGACCTGGTTCAGACCTGGTCCAGACCTTTATTCAGATCTGCTCCGTTCTGACCCCACAGACATGAATGAATGAATGAAAACTTTATTTTAGAATAGAAACAAATATACAATGTTTGTATTGTTTTGTTTTGTTTAATTGACAAAAAGTCAGTCAAAAGGAGTGGGAAGAGACATGTAGAGTAGATTTCAGACTTTGAGTTGTTTTCGTAGTAAAAACGTGAAATTCTGTAGTCTGTGTCCCTCTCTCTCTCATGATGTGGATTTTTAAATTTTGTTTTATTTTGATATTTGTTCTTTGAGCTCTGTCTGTTTCACCTTTGTCTCGCTGAGTTTTCTTTTACCCTGTTCTTTTCCCCAATTATTGTCTAAATAATTTTCATACACACTTTATAGGGACCAGGTCTGCAAACTAGCAATAAGCTATACGGCCTATGAACACAGCATCAGTTCCTCTAAAAATGCTTCTTGTTCTGTCCCTATCAAATAAACACATAATCATGAAATAATATATTCACTCCTGCATTTTGTGTTTCATTATTCACTTCCTCGTGTGACAGAATGGACGGACCATGTGGGGACCCTGCCTCTGATCCACACCGGACTCACCTCTCGCTAAACCAGCCGCATCGTGCTCTTCATTAATAGGTGTTTTTTGCTTGTTTTGACTCCTCTGCCGGCTGCTCATTGACAAACTCAGTATAAGCTGGCACGGAACCACCGGCAGACAAAGTTCTCGGTCCTGGGGGGTAGCTACTGTCTAATGCATTGTTGTTTTTACAGGCAATTCCTTATAGTAAACCATTGGGAGGGTTCATGGCATGGACTTTTAGATTACTTTTACCTGATTTTATTTTGATATTGGTTCTTTAAGCTCTGTTCAGTTTGTTGGCCTCACTCTAATGTGTTTCCCTGTGTGTGTTTATCCGTTCATTGTCTGTATTCCACGTTTATTCTTGAGTTTTTTTTAATTATGGAATGTTGTGTTTATTGTTACCCTGGATTTGTATTGGTTTTGTTGAATTACATTTCATTTCCAGTCCTGCTTTTTGGATTCCTTTATCCATTTCACCATGACCCGAGAGAAGCCCAGACTCTTTGTGATCATCCAGACCGGGAACTCAGACACAGTGATTTTAAACTCTAGACTAGGCTTGTACAAACTAAGGCCCGAGGGCAAATTGCGGCCCACTGCGTAATCTTTTGTGGCCCTCTGCCTTGCTCACACAAAGTACCATTGAGAACATAAACACACGATCATAGTGTCATCCAGTCAACTTCTGCTTCTCTAACACAAGCATGTTATACCTCATTGTAAAGCTCAGAACCGTTTTAATCCATTTGTTTTTCATTATGGCTCATTAATGCTCATGTTCCAGTCAAAAATAGTTTTACGACCCATGTTTTCAGTCTGGAGAGCTAAAGTGGCCCTCTTAGTTAAAACTTTGGCCACCTCTGCTCTAGACCAATGGCAGCGCAGCGTCCACAGAATCACCAGGACGACAGAGCATTCCTTTAACTCGTTTGTGGCTTGATTAACGACAGTAAGAAGAACGTCCCACTGTGGCGGCTCGTCACAGCCTCGCTTTGCTCTGTGGCCTGCTTCATAGATCCAGTCCCCTCCGCGGTCGGCCCGGGTCCCCCATGGCTCACCACAAACACTTAATTACTCAGACAAATAGCATGACCCCAAACCCCGCTGCTCTCCTCCAGCTGCTCCAACCCCTGTACATCACGACCTAATTGGATGCAGAGTAGGACCAAAAGGCGTGGTCCTCCATCCGTCTCTCCACAGAGCGCTCCCTGGACCGGCCCCAGTCTCCGCTGTGCCCTAACTCTCCGTGAGCACGACACTGGGACCCTGCGACGCTATTGTTTACGGCCGGCCTCACCTGTGCCACTGAGGACTCTGGGTAATGGGCTCCCGGTGCATTTTTCAACCTTTGGAAAAGTCAGGATTTACAACTGTGACGAGCGGCCGCCACAATCAGAATCTGCCTCTGCTGTTTCTGCTCGAGAGAGAGAGAGAGAGAGAGAGAGAGAGAGAGAGAGAGAGAGAGAGAGAGAGAGAGAGAGAGAGAGAGAGAGAGAGAGAGAGAGAGAGAGAGAGAGAGAGAGAGAGAGAGAGAGAGAGAGACGCACCAGTGCAGGGCTGCGGTGAGGGAAAGGTGCTTCTTTAGTGTCTTTATTTATTCAAGATGACAGAGACAGTGCACAATAAACATTAACCTCAAAGGGACAGATGCATTGTGTGTACAGGCGTGTGTGTGTATATAACACACACACACACACTATATAACTCACAAATAGTATATATCATACACACACACACACACACTATATACCACACATATAGTATAAAACACACACATGCACACTATTTAACTCACACATAGTATATATCATACACACACACAAAATATAATACACACACAATATAACACACAAATAGTATAAAACACACACACACAAACAGACATACACACACACACACACACAAACAGACATACACACACACACACATAGACACACACACACACACACACACACACACACACAAACAGACATACACACACACAGTATACAACAGACAAACATACACACACACACAGACACACACAGACACACACACACACACACAGACTCACACAGACACACAGACACACAGACACACACACACACACACAATACAATACAATACAATACAATGTATTCTTGTATAGCCCTAGGTCACAACAGAAGTCATCTCAGAGACTTAACAAAACCATTGAAATCACCAACACAGGTCAGAGAATCAACAGTTAAAACACATGAAGATGGAGGAGGCCAGGCTCAGAGATCCCGTCATCGTACCATGAAACAGACAATGGGACAACGGGTGAATAGCAATGAACAAACTACAGTCAAAATCCTAAAATGCTAAACAGATAAAGTAGGAAGGAGGAGAGGATAGTGCTCAAGTTACCATACTTCTCCAGCAGGGGGCTCCCTATGCAGCTTGACTAACACTCTGAGGAGTTTAACCTTCTCCGAGTCTTACCTTCCTAGCCATATGCTAAACTAAAGAGGACTGTTTTAAACCTAGCCTTGAATAAAGAGAGCGTATCTGAAAGGAGGCGAGACAGCAGCAGTCACGGCTAGGCTAGCCCAGGTTACAGCACCAAGATTCATGGATTACACACCAGGTGTGCCAAACCGATCCAAGCAAACCTAATTATATATTATATATCATATACATCACATATACCATACATACCATATATATCATATGTAATACACAACATAGCATAATATATAACATAATATACAACATAACACAATACAAAACATAATACATATATTGTATAATATATAACATAATATATAACATAATACAGCATATAGATATATAATATATACACCCATCCATCCATCCATTTTCTTCCCCTTTATCCATTTCTGGGTTGGGGGGTGACAGTCAGAGCTGCACCCAGTCACAGAGCACCAGCCCCTCACTGATCCTCCTGCAGGTGGTGAGTCCACAGGAGCTGAGATCTTTCAGCGGGGGCTTCAGGCAAAGTGGGGTTAAGTGTCTTGCCCAAGGACACAACGACAGCAGTCAACTGTGGGAGTCTTGAAGTAGGTCTCTTGGTGGGCTCGAACCCACAACCTTCAAGCCCAAAGGCCAATGCTCTACCAACTGAGCCACTGCTGCCCCTATATATACACCATATATTATATATTACCTAATTATATGCTAAATTAAAGTAGAGTGCTTTAAGCCTGGCCTTGAATGTGGAGACCGTATCTGCTTCCTTAACATAAATGGGAAGCTGATTCCACAGTAAAGGAGCTTGGTAGCTTCTTTACACACACACACAGACACACACACACACACACACACACACACACACCCTTTATACCATATTGACTCCCCTTCCCTTCGTCGCAGGTTAATTGTCTCGTATGAGATCCAGGAAATCTAATTATCCCTGGGTTGTTTTTCCATCTCCATCCTTCGCATTGATCCTCTGCTTTTCATCCACAAAATAATAGTTTCTCACAAAGAGGATCTGGTGGAAGTGGAGGCTCCGCGGCCGGGGAACTCTATTTGACTCTGTTTCCTAATAGGACTCAGACAAAGAGCAATTTCAGCGTGTTAAAAGTTGGAGAGAAGAGGCGGGTGGTTAAGTGAAGAAGAGAAAAGCGGGAGGCTGTGAACCAGAAAATCACTCTGGTGCTTCTGCAGAGGAGGCGCTGCTCGGGATGCAGGACGGAGCCCCACCACAGACACCAACTTCACACGCTGTTTCTGGACTTAAGGATGGCGTGAGATAAGATATAAGATAGACTTTACTGATCTCTGATGGACAATTGTACATGTCACATTCGCACAGATAGATTCACTCAGAATTCAATACTGCAAAAAACCCTGGAACTGAAGACGAAGACAAGAACCACCAAACAAACATTCAGGAAAGTTGGAAAGAGCACAGAGAATTTCACGGAGAGACACAGGTACAACACATCAGGGGGCGGGGCAATCAACAGAACAGGAAGTACAACTCAAAAAGACACAGATAATCACAAAATTAAACAGAAATGAAAAGTGTGAATTATGTTAAAGGTTAAAAATATAGTCTGTGCAGGATATACCTATGGACGATAAAAGAGTGGAACTAGACGTGCAGGTTTTTCAGTCTAGTGCATTAGTGACGTAAGGTGACTTGTTGTACAGTCTGACAGCGGCGGGCATGGTTCTTTATCGTAACTAAAACAGTCACCTGACGTTGAAAGAGGAAGTTGTCAGGTTTGTATCATGGTATTTCAGAATGTTTGTTTCCATACAGTCGAGCTTTCCTCCCACAGAGAGACCAGGAGTTTCTGTGATGGTGGTTTTCAATGAAACAAGAAACATTTAAATAATTCTGAAGGATTGGAGGTTGAGCTAGAACCCTTTCCCCTTGACCTTTTCTGACCAAAGCGTTCTGAAAAGGCCCTGATGGTCTTGGTTTTGTTTCTGTTTGTGTGGTGACAGTGTTTACATTAGTCCTGCTCTCAGGTCAATGCTGAGAAAGAAGAAGAGAAGAAGGTCCTTTATTCATCCCACAGATTTGATGAATACACATAAACACATCAAGGCAGTGGACATTACTTCCGCGCTCCTTATAAGCAGGGGAGTTTTGGTTTGGGGCCAGTCTAGTTTAGCCGCTGTGGACTTTTGAATGCACTTAAATTAAAGGGGCTCGTGCAGAAAACACGGGAGGGGCCACTCGTGGACATTTAAGAATAGACGGCGGGAGGGAAAAGTGATAACACATACGTTTCAACTGCGGAGGCGTCCAATAATATTTACAGTCCATAGTCCCTCCCCAGCCTCTGCCCCCCTCCCCGGCCTCCGCCCCCCCTCCCCAGCCTCCGCCCCCCCTCCCCAGCCTCCGCCCCCCCTCCCCAGCCCAGTGGAGCGCTGGCCCCTTGAGGACAGATGTATGAAGAGGCAGGGTCTGAGTGAAGTGATGGAGCCTCCGATGAAGAGACACTCAGACGAATGGAGCTGGGAGCAGGAGGCGACAGGAGGCGACAGCGCTGACAAATGGGTCCAGGATGAGCTGTGCGGCCCGGGCACGGACAATACCTGCCCCCCCCACCCACCCCCTCTCCCAGCCCCCCCCCCTACACCTGCCCTGCCTGCTTACCGCTTACAAGAATTCCATGCATTTTCTGAGCTCATATTTCAAGGCTTTTTGATGGATTCTTGGGGCACTTTTTGACACTTGAGCGCTTCAGTGTGGATTGGGGTCGTTGGGGGTTCGGAGACATGTGTGTGCTCCTCAATCTGAGTCACAGAAGAATAGAACAGGAAGAACAGAAAAGAACAGGACAGAACAGACCATAGGGGGTTTAGCTCAGCAGAGACCTCAACCCAAAACCTATACAATGCTTTATATGCTAATTTTAAGCGTCTTTGAGTGTCCCAAAAAGCACTATATAAGTTTGATGTATTATTATTACTGTTATTATTATTATTATTTTAGCCCTAAACAAGATTTCGAGAATATTGGATACGTTTTTGAATTGTGTATTTATTATAATCAATGTCGATGAAGGCTCAGTTGGTGTTTATGTGCAGAAATTCCCAAAACTAATTTTATCATCAACACTTTTTTTCTAGAGGGACTGGTTTGAGGCGTGGCGCACGGTAAAGTCTACGGGGAAGTCTCCTCTGCCAAAACCAAAACATTTCTCTCTAAATTCTGCCGTCATAATTGGCATCTGAGTTAGTATCTGCAAGGTTGGGATCTGATGTGAAAACGGCACTGCGACGCTCAGGACGCCGAAATGCCAAAGCCTACGAGGCAAGTAAAGCAATTAGAAACAGCAGCTGAAGGAAACCATCCAACTCACTCGAAAAAATGCTGGACGTGGTTCTGATCCGCTGAATAAAAAGTTTGTATCTCTGACCGTGAACCAGGTGGCACTGAGGCTGAGCAGCGAATCCAAACGCCCGGACTATCCCTGGCTGTAGCACGCCGGCTGTTCGAGAAACACAAAGATCAAGGGAAAACCAGAAGAAGGAGAGGAAGAAGAGAGGAAACCCACAGTGTCTGATGCCAAAGCTGCTCGGACAAGTTAATCTGGAAAAGCCTGTGATGAGAAGGACTGCCCAGAGCCACCAGCGCACAGCGACCTCCAAGCATCATCGCGAGGTCATATTTCCACCAGGAGAAAGGAAAGCTGCTCAGACTGAGTCGACAACAGCAACTCTACATCAACATCAACGAGGCTTTAGTTATGTAATGTAAGCTCTGCGGGAGAAAGAAAGAAAGTTACTCTGAAAGTTACGCAGACTCCAAGTGGACTACAAAGACCAGGTCAAAGTTTTCATTTCTCCTGCAGAAGTTTGAGCTTTTATCGACAGTCTACAGAAGTAAAGTCCAGGAAGCAAAAAATATGGTTTTTGGTGTGTCTCTGTGTCTATATGTACCTGTGTCTATATGTACCTGTGTGTCTGTGTCTATATGTACCTGTGTCTCTGTGTCTATATGTACCTGTGTCTATATGTACCTGTGTGTCTGTGTCTATATGTACCTGTGTCTCTGTGTCTATATGTACCTGTGTCTCTGTGTCTATATGTACCTGTGTCTATATGTACCTGTGTGTCTGTGTCTATATGTACCTGTGTCTCTGTGTCTATATGTACCTGTGTCTCTGTGTCTATATGTACCTGTGTCTCTGTGTCTATATGTACCTGTGTCTCTGTGTCTATATGTACCTGTGTCTATATGTACCTGTGTGTCTATGTCTATATGTACCTGTGTCTCTGTGTCTATATGTACCTGTGTCTCTGTGTCTATATGTACCTGTGTCTCTGTGTCTATATGTACCTGTGTGTCTGTGTCTATATGTACCTGTGTCTCTGTGTCTATATGTACCTGTGTCTCTGTGTCTATACAGTAAGTACCTGTGCCTATATGTACCTGTGTCTCTGTGTGTATATATGTACCTGTGTCTCTGTGTCTATATGTACCTGTGTCTCTCTGTGTCTATATGTACCTGTGTCTCTGTGTCTATATGTACCTGTGTCTATATGTACCTGTGTCTATAAGTACCTGTGTCTCTGTGTCTATATGTACCTGTGTCTATATGTACTTGTGTCTCTGTGTCTATATGTACCTGTGTCTATATGTACCTGTGTCTATAAGTACCTGTGTCTCTGTGTCTATATGTACCTGTGTCTCTGTGTCTATAAGTACCTGTGTCTATATGTACCTGTGTCTCTGTGTCTATATGTACCTGTGTCTCTCTGTGTCTATATGTACCTGTGTCTCTGTGTCTATATGTACCTGTGTCTCTGTGTCTATATGTACCTGTGTCTATATGTGTCTCTGTGTCTATAAGTACCTGTGTCTCTGTGTCTATATGTACCTGTGTCTCTGTGTCTATATGTACCTGTGTCTCTGTGTCTATATGTACCTGTGTCTCTGTGTCTATATGTACCTGTGTCTCTGTGTCTATATGTACCTGTGTCTCTGTGTCTATATGTACCTGTGTCTCTGTGTCTATATGTACCTGTGTCTACCTGGTTTTGGTGTGGCTTGCACAGAATAAAACTAGAGAAGAACTAGAACGATGGTTATTTCATTTTTGGATTCATTCATTTTGCAAAGACTGTGATTGTGCAAAAGACAGAAGTGCAAACGTTTTTATGGTTAAAAATATAGTCTGTGCAGATTTAGATCTAGATCCAACAGAATGTCGTTTACAACTTCATGACGAGAGCGATACTAGCGCTTACTCATCACTAGTAAGTAAGTAAGTAATGTTTATATATATAGCACATTTTACAGACCAAGGTACAGACCCAAAGGTACAGACCCAAAGGTACAGACCCAAAGCCCTTTCCAATGTTCAGAGTCAGATATTGTTCCAATCCTTCCACACACGGTGATGACAGAAGCGAGTCCAGAACACACTGGACCATCAGCTCCAACACCATCATTCACTCTCTCATTTACATTCAGACCTATTGTGCATGTTTTTAGTGGTAGGGGAAACCGGAGCACCCGGAGGAAACCTACGCAGACACAGGAAGAACATGCAAACTCCACTCAGAAAGGCCCTGTTCTGACCGTGATTCGAACCCCCTTCTTGCTGAGGGCGAGAGTGCTAACCACTCAGCCACCGTGCCTCCTCCACTGTTACTGTTTATCTTTCTATTCAAATGATTAAAATGAAGTTAAAAAGGAGACAATATTTACAGGTTGTTCTTTTGTCACTTCAGCAGTAAATGTATTAAACCTTTAATTGTTTCCGCAAATATTTGGTAGATTATCTTTTCAGTCAATAAATGTACTTTAAGCTTGTTTCGAACTGAACTATACCTCTTTGGGGCATCTCCCTTGGGAGTAAAACGGGTAAAAAAAATGGGTACAAAAAATATATATACAGTACCTTGCGGAAGTATTCGGCCCCTTGAACCTTTCAACATTTCGCCACATTTCAGGCTTCAAACATAAAGATATAAAAACATTTTTTTTTGTCAAGAATCAACAACAAGTGGGACACAATCGTGAAGTGGAACGAAATTTATTGGATAATTTTAACTTTTTTAACAAATAAAAAACTGAAAAGTGGGGCGTGCAATATTATTCGGCCCCTTGCGCTAATACTTTGTAGCGCCACCTTTTGCTGCAATTACAGCTGCAAGTCGCTTGGGGTATGTCTCTATCAGTTTTGCACATCGAGAGACTGGAATTCTTGCCCATTCTTCCTTGCAAAACAGCTGGAGCTCAGTGAGGTTGGATGGAGAGCGTTTGTGAACAGCAGTCTTCAGCTCTTTCCACAGATTCTGGATTGGATTCAGGTCTGGACTTTGACTTGGCCATTCTAACACCTGGATACGTCTATTTGTGAACCATTCCATTGTAGATTTGGCTTTATGTTTTGGATCATTGTCCTGTTGGAAGATAAATCTCCGTCCCAGTCTCAGGTCTTTTGCAGACTCCAACAGGTTTTCTTCCAGAATGGTCCTGTATTTGGCTCCATCCATCTTCCCATCAATTTTAGCCATCTTCCCTGTCCCTGCTGAAGAAAAGCAGGCCCAAAGCATGATGCTGCCACCACCATGTTTGACAGTGGGGATGGTGTGTTCAGGGTGATGAGCTGTGTTGCTGTTACGACAAACATATCGTTTTACATTGTGGCCAAAAAGTTCAATTTTGGTTTCATCTGACCAGAGCACCTTCTTCCACATGTTTGGTGTGTCTCCCAGGTGGCTTGTGGCAAACTTTAAACAAGACTTTTTATGGATATCTTTGAGAAATGGCTTTCTTCTTGCCACTCTTCCATAAAGGCCAGATTTGTGCAGTGCACGACTGATTGTTGTCCTATGGACAGACTCTCCCACCTCAGCTGTAGTTATCTGCAGTTCATCCAGAGTGATCATGGGCCTCTTGGCTGCATCTCTGATCAGTCTTCTCCTTGTTTGAGATGAAAGATTGGAGGGACGGCCGGGTCTTGGTAGATTTGCAGTGGTCTGATACTCCTTCCATTTCAATATAATTGCTTGCACAGTGCTCCTTGAGATGTTTAAAGCTTGGGAAATCTTTTTGTATCCAAATCCGGATTTAAACTTCTCCACAACAGTATCTTGGACCTGCCTGGTGTGTTCCTTTGTCTTCATGGTTCTCTCTGCGCTTTAAACAGAACCCTGAGACTATCAAAGAGCAGGTGCATTTATACGGAGACTTGATTACACACAGGTGCATTCTATTTATCATCATCAGTCATTTAGGACAACATTGGATCATTCAAAGATCCTCACTGAACTTCTGGACTGAGTTTGCTGCACTGAAAGTAAAGGGGCCGAATAATATTGCACGCCCCACTTTTCAGTTTTTTATTTGTTAAAAAAGTTTAAATTATCCAATACATTTTGTTCCACTTCACGATTGTGTCCCACTTGTTGTTTATTCATGACAAAAAATATTGTTTTTATATCTTTATGTTTGAAGCCTGAAATGTGGCAAAATGTTGAAAGGTTCAAGGGGGGCGAATACTTTCGCAAGGCACTGTATATGTAAAAACACAATATCTGTGTCACTAGTGTCCTTAATCTTACATTTCTTTCTTCAAGGAGTGAATGTTAAAAGGTTAAACCTGAATCGTGGACACTTGTAAAAGAGCTGAAAGCAAAAAGCCACCTGACCAAATGAGCCAATCAGAGGGTTTCACGCGGCGGTCTCCATCTACTATCTCTAAAACTAAATCATTGTGAACAAAGCCGCCTCCCTCCCGTGGCCCACACAGCTCAGAGCCCGTGCGGAATAATCTGTGTCCAAATGAGACGCTCTCTTCTCTCCCAACAGCACTTATCGTCCCGGTCATTTGAATAACTCTGGGGAATCGGACACGGCTCCCGCTGACACGCATGCATATCAATGTAGCCCCTGACAGCTCACCGCGGCATGCTGGGAAATATCCATCCATTACCGTTTGGGGATCGGCACAAACTATTTCAGTCGGAATTTACACAGCGCGGCCTCCTGTCAGACTGTGCAACGAGGTCGGCAAACAGCGGCGTCGGTTTTCTGTTTGCTGAAGATGAGGCGGGAGCAGACACCCCCCACAGTATGTTTACGTTTATGCATGCACCTGTCACGCTAGCTCCCCCTGGTGGTCAGAGCCATGTGGTTGGGAGTCAGTGGTTTTTATGAATGAACTTCTAACTTCAGACTTTTATAGAAGACATGTTATTCTCCTATGAACTTTGCTTATGTCCATTTGTCCTCACTGAGTCCTCAATAAGTCCTCGCAGAGTCCTCGCAGAGTCCTCACAGAGTCCTCACAGAGTCCTCAATAAGTCCTCGCAGAGTCCTCGCAGTCCTCACAGAGTCCTCACTGAGTCCTCACAGAGTCCTCACAGAGTCCTCACAAAGTCCTCACTGAGTCCTTGCAGAGTCCTCACTGAGTCCTCACAGAGTCCTCACAGAGTCCTCACTGAGTCCTCACAGAGTCCTCACTGAGTCCTCACAGAGTCCTCACAGAGTCCTCACAGAGTCCTCACAGAGTCCTCACAAAGTCCTCACAGTCCTCACAGAGTCCTCACTGAGTCCTCACTGAGTCCTCACTGAGTCTTCACAGAGTCCTCACTGAGTCCTCACACACACACACATCACGATCACTACTGTCTGTATTCTCTGGACACGTCTCATGTTCTTCTCTATTGCTTCAGCCCCAAACATGTCTTACCATCACACACACACACACACACACACACGCACACACACACATGCACACACACACATGCACACACACACACACACACACACACACACCAAAACACACACACTACACACACTCTGTTTTTTTATTGTTATTTGATTGGTTTTCCCTGAGAGCGTGGACAGCCTGGTTGTAGTGTCAGGTCTCCGGGGAGAGTTTGTTTGGACCCCGTGGTTCCATATGGGACAGAGAGGATCCTATTATCCCCCCCCCCTCTGCAGAGCCCAGCCAGCCCAGCCATGTCCCTCACACATGCAGCTAAACTTAACCTCTGACCACTGTGGCTGACCTTCACCTTCTCAAACAATACGCTGGAAGACACCAAGCTGTGATCTTATCTGGAAAATGAGTAAAAGAAGCCGCTGGGTTAAGTAGAAAACTATACAATTATATACACTTCATCTGTGGGAGTGGCTTAATGCGCAGGGGGTGATAAAAGCCTGTGTTGGAGCAAAGATCTTACATTATTCTGGGATTTATAAGAAGTCATGTTGTGCTTTTTTAATAATCTCAGTATCTGGTTTCTCTCATTGGGGCAGTGCATGTTATTGTAGCACATCCTGGAAGTAAGTAAGTAAGTAATCTTTATTTATATACCGCCTTTTCACTGCAGATCTGAGTCTCAAAGCGGTTTACAATTGTTAATTTTGGGCATTTGTCTCTCACTCCACACAGAGATGGGAGCGGGGTCGCCAGTACAGGAGGCGCATGCTAGAACTGTTGGACATATTTTTAGTGGTAGGGGAAACCGGAGTACCTGGAGGAAACCTACGCAGACACAGGGAGAACATGCAAACTCCACTCAGAAAGGCCCTGGGATTCGAACCCAGGCGAGAGTGCTATCCACTCAGCCACCGTGCCGCTGAAGTGTTACTCAGAGAGTAACACTTCAGCGAGAGTACACATGCACTGTAGTCTAAGTAGTAACACTGTAATATTGTTAGACTGAGACTCGGATACTCAGGCAGAGAGAGAGAGGTCAGAGGCGAAGGTTGCATTGAAGGTCAAAAAGACAGAAACAAATATGTGCAATAACCTTCATCGTCTTTTCAACCCATACCCGGCTTATCCCACTGTGTCAGGTCAATACTTCATAAATGTTTATTGACTTTCTCCATCCCGTTTATAGACGACAAACGTGAAATACTGTTCACCAAAGTGTTGACCAAACCCGTAGCTTGTTTTATGTTGTAAATGTGTTGTATGAGCTAAAGCACTTACAACAAAGAGAAAGATATGAGCTGAAGATAATACCACTGAAGGTCCAGCCCCTTTATGTTTGTATGAGTTCTTGGCCGTCACAGTCAGTACCTGTGATCGGTGTGTTTAGTCGCCTTCCCCAGCCCGTGGTCTTCAGGGGTTTGTGCTGCCGTTATCAATAAACACTCATTTTCCGCAGTGACACGGGCCATAAGCTCCGCTGCTCGGGCTTGTGTTAATAGCCGTCGGGGCGTGAGTTATGTGGGATGGATGTTTTCGCTAACAGCCTCAATTTAGCTCCTAAAGCGGGAGGGGTCATTACACACGGGTCCAGGCACCAGTCATCCCACCGACCCATTACTGTGTGGACCATCATTCCCGAGCCATGCAGCGTGTAGCCCCCTCCCGTGTCCTGGGTCTTCCCCTGGTCTCCTCCCGGTGGACAGGCCCAGAACATCAGGAGGCATTGACCAGTAAATCCAGCGCTTTGCCTTTCGACTCAGCTCCCTCTTTGCCAGAACAGTCTGATAGAGCTCTGACTGAAGACGCTGCTCCCTCTTCACCACAACTGTCCCTCACTGAGGAACAAGACCTGACACATTCTGCCCCAAAAGTGTCAAAGTGTGGATTATTTGTTACTTGGTTTTATTTTGACATTTGTTCTCTGTGGGTTATTTCAGTTTTACTTCCTGTCCTGTTGTGTCTATATGTACCTGTGTCTCTGTGTCTATATGTACCTGTGTCTCTCTGTGTCTATATGTACCTGTGTCTCTGTGTCTATATGTACCTGTGTCTCTGTGTCTATATGTACCTGTGTCTCTGTGTCTATATGTACCTGTGTCTCTGTGTGTCTATATGTACCTGTGTCTCTGTGTCTATATGTACCTGTGTCTCTCTGTGTCTATATGTACCTGTGTCTCTGTGTCTATATGTACCTGTGTCTCTCTGTGTCTATATGTACCTGTGTCTCTCTGTGTCTATATGTACCTGTGTCTCTCTGTGTCTATATGTACCTGTGTCTCTGTGTCTATATGTACCTGTGTCTCTGTGTCTATATGTACCTGTGTCTCTCTGTGTCTATATGTACCTGTGTCTCTGTGTCTATATGTACCTGTGTCTATATGTACCTGTGTCTCTGTGTCTATATGTACCTGTGTCTCTGTGTCTATATGTACCTGTGTCTCTGTATCTATAAGTACCTGTGTCTATATGTACCTGTGTCTCTGTGTCTATAAGTACCTGTGTCTATATGTACCTGTGTCTCTGTGTCTATAAGTACCTGTGTCTATATGTACCTTGTCTCTGTGTCTATATGTACCTGTGTCTCTCTGTGTCTATATGTACCTGTGTCTCTCTGTGTCTGTATGTACCTGTGTCTCTCTGTGTCTATATGTACCTGTGTCTCTGTGTCTATATGTACCTGTGTCTCCCTGTGTCTATATGTACCTGTGTCTCTGTGTCTATATGTACCTGTGTCTATATGTACCTGTGTCTCTGTGTCTATATGTACCTGTGTCTCTGTAATCTTTATTAGTAATCTTTATTTATATACCGCCTTTTCACTGCACATTGGAGTCTCAAAGCGGTTTACAATTGTTATTTTTGGGAGTGGGGGTGCCAGTACATGGAGGCACATGCCAGACCTATTGTACATATTTTTAGTGGTAGGGGAAACCGGAGCACCCGGAGGAAACCTACACAGACACGGGGAGAACATGCAAACTCCACTCAGAAAGGCCCTGGTCCAACCGGGATTCGAACCCAGGACCTTCTTGCTGAGAGGCGAGAGTGCTATCCACTCAGCCACCCGCCGTCTGTGTCTATATGTACCTGTGTCTCTGTGTCTATATGTACCTGTGTCTCTGTGTCTATATGTACCTGTGTCTCTGTGTCTATATGTACCTGTGTCTCTCTGTGTCTATATGTACCTGTGTCTATATGTACCTGTGTCTCTGTGTCTATATGTACCTGTGTCTCTGTGTCTATATGTACCTGTGTCTCTCTGTGTCTATATGTACCTGTGTCTCTCTGTGTCTATATGTACCTGTGTCTATATGTACCTGTGTCTCTCTGTGTCTATATGTACCTGTGTCTCTCTGTGTCTATATGTACCTGTGTCTCTGTGTCTATATGTACCTGTGTCTCTGTGTCTATACTGTATGTACCTGTGTCTCTGTGTCTATATGTACCTGTGTCTCTGTGTCTATAAGTACCTGTGTGTCTGTGTCTATATGTACCTGTGTGTCTATATGTACCTGTGTATCTGTGTCTATATGTACCTGTGTCTCTGTGTCTATAAGTACCTGTGTCTATATGTACCTGTGTCTATATGTACCTGTGTCTCTGTGTCTATATGTACCTGTGTCTCTGTATCTATAAGTACCTGTGTCTATATGTACCTGTTTCTCTCTGTGTCTATATGTACCTGTGTCTCTGTGTCTATATGTACCTGTGTCTCTCTGTGTCTATATGTACCTGTGTCTCTCTGTGTCTATATGTACCTGTGTCTCTGTGTCTATAAGTACCTGTCTATATGTACCTGTGTCTCTGTGTCTATATGTACCTGTGTCTCTGTGTCTATATGTACCTGTGTCTCTCTGTGTCTATATGTACCTGTGTCTCTCTGTGTCTATATGTACCTGTGTCTCTCTGTGTCTATATGTACCTGTGTCTCTGTGTCTATATGTACCTGTGTCTCTGTGTCTATAAGTACCTGTGTCTATATGTACCTGTGTCTCTGTGTCTATAAGTACCTGTGTCTATATGTACCTTTGTCTCTGTGTCTGTAAGTACCTGTGTCTATATGTACCTGTGTCTCTCTGCGTCTATAAGTACCTGTGTCTATATGTACCTGTGTCTCTGTGTCTAGAAGTACCTGTGTCTATATGTACCTGTGTCTCTGTGTCTCCTTGGACGGAAACCAACCAACGAAGGCTGAACTGTGTGTGTGTGTGTGCGATTTTCTCCAGGTTCAACTGTAGTTCAACAAAAGCGTTCAACATTTCAATGAGACACACAGAGAGTTAGTCTTTGATCTATGAAGCTTCTGATTGACAGCTTAAAAGTCGGACCAAGGTCTTGTCGGGCCCCAGCTGCTTTTGCTAAAGTCCGGTGTCCACAGAGAAGGACGGGGTCTTAAAAAGGCCTCAGACACTTATGTACAGACCATGTGGACATACGAGAGCAAAGGCGACAGTGGCTCTACTTCAAGGAGCAGTGTTTAAAAATGTGTCCAAAAGTGGTACTGCAGCCTCTCCCACTCTCCCTGACTCAGGTTGCCAGATATGCAGACGAATCCAGCTGGGACCATAACAGCTGAATAGACAAGAGTTTTGTCAACAACAAATCTATAACCAACACCTTTTTCACAAAGATAGAAATCCTGGTTTTATTCCTTGTTTTGTCGTTAATGATTTGAGACCATAACGAGACCTTTTTTAGTTCTGCGCCACATGGTACTTTACCAGTGAGATTAGCTCAACGCAGTGAGTTCTGGCGCCCGGATGAAAGACTTTCTGATTGGTGAAACGATGGAGGGCAG